CAGACGGCGTCCAAAGAGGCGGGAGAGACAGGACGACGACGACGACGGGGTCCCGGCTCTCGAACGCGAGACAGCCTGGCGGCATTGTACACATGTTCACGCCGTTCGCCTTTGCAACACGGGCCGCGCCTCAAAAGGTCACCGAAGCGGCGGCCACCCGTCCATTACCTATATTATATTATCGATGCATTCAAATTCGGACTCGCCTCGATACATCATAATCGAACTGGACGATCGCGCCTCACACGAAGAGTTATATGTACTCGAACCGAAAGAAAAAAAAAAATACATGTGTAAAATGCGACCGTCACCGTCGTTTAATTGCCGGGTATCGCTGGCATGGCGAAAGAAAAAAGAGATATATACGTTATATCTGTGCGCGTCCTAAAAACGACGCTTCGTAGGTAGACCAAGGACAACGTTCAATGCAGATCTGACTTCGATCGGATTTAACTTTGGTTCGGAATCAATTCATGATTTCGAAATGCATAAATAGTCTGGTCACTCTTCGTTCTGAAATGAGATGGTTTTATGAGTACAAAATTATTTTCATACATTACTTTATAAATCATCAATTTGAATGTTCTTGAATCGAATATGTAGGTGTAAATACCGTTAGAAGAAATCGTTAATCCGTACATAACTTACGGTTAACGACAGTTATAGATAAAAATACGAATATACAGACATCATTTATTCGAAGCGATCACACGCTCTTAAGATACAAAAACCCGGACGCCTCCGACTCGCCGTATATCTATATACGATACGATTACGCAGTACGACATAATTTTCCTAAGCTGAAAGCTACGAAATAGGCAAAAGGCATCCCAGGTTGGAAATAAAAACAGCCACGAACGTATATTATACTTAGCATGGCAATATTCGCGCCGACTTTCTATGTCTAAATCAGCCGGAATGGACAATTCCAATTACGAATTTCACCTTATCCGATATAAATTGCGGTCTGCGTGTCCAAGAAATATCAATAAGCCAGGCGTCGGCGTATAGATTCCGGGCGAATCTCTTATGCTCGGCGCCCAAACCGCTATAAATACAAATGAGCCGTCCATTTTCACCGGTAATGGCACATTAGCAACTACCCACACGAACGATTCTAACGTACTGAGCAAATAGAATTTCTTTACATTCCGAGTCTTTAATGACAAATGGATTTTCATATGTTGAAAAATTTAAAAGAAAAAATAGGTGCGTTGTCATTGCGTACACGTTATACTTAACGGTAACGACTAATGGACCGGTATTGTATACGTGAAGAAGGATCACCACAAAGGAAGAACAAACAGTGATTAGCATACAAAAGCCGACATACTCGAACGTAATAGAAACGGCCGTCGGATCGATGCCAGACAACAGACGGTAACGTATAGTTTGTAACCTAATACCCTATTTTTCTAATCTCATTGTTGTCCCTTGAGCTGTCCCGACTATGAATGGATCGCGCGTAAATACGTACACGTAACATTTTGAAAGGTAATCGTCCGAAAGAGAGCTTATAAAGAATTGGATGACGTGACACTTTTGACATCACGCGTGGGTGTGAAACGTGAACCTCGTTTAAACACGCACATCAGTACTTGTGCATATCAAGTCATCTTTATGATTCTGTACATGAAACAGCATACTGAGAAAGCTTTAGATTCAATTGTGATTTTAGATTTTTTGGTTTACCACATCAAAATATCCACAAGTCAAAAAGTCAGCAACACCAATTTCTTGTTCAATAATTTTTTCTTGGAAATTTGGCGGTAACTCGAGCGCGATAAAACGATTGCGTGCAATGTTCGGCCACCCATCAATTTGGTCATCTTGCCAAGCGATTTCTACAAAAAAGAAAGGTAGAACAAACCAACAGCGGACATTTCGAGTGCTGTAGCACGATTCGTGATGCGTATGGAGGTTCGTCGATGACGAGATAACGAACTTCTCGAATCGAGAACGGCTTCTTTCGCCGTCGACGAGAACAGCTTTTTTGTCGGCCGGACCATTAATTTGGGGATTGCATAAGATAACCCCTTTCGCGGGCACGGTCCCAGTGTAAATATTTATGTTTCGATTGAAAGGGAAACTTGACCGACCGACCGCTGAGTTGTTTTTGCTTCATGTCACGACATCGCATGATCCATTCAGTTCATTTCGAAGACACTTGTATTATTGTAAGTTGAAGCATAACTTAACGATTCCCCATTTCCATCTATTTCCAACTGTACTTTATTCCATAATCATTATTATACTTACACTGTCACTGTGGAAGTACTTGCCATTTGTAATAATATTATTTAAGTGTTGAGCAATTCAAGATAATCGGTTTGTCGTTTGCAAAATTGATGTAATAAGAAAATCCAACTACCGCACTTTAAACGCTACCGGCACAATAGACTTCCGTGACTTAAACAATTATTGTGATAGAGAAAATCAACTTTGAAGAAATTATAGACTAGGACAAACCACACGCAATTACGTGTATTACAAAAATATTAAACGAAAAAAAAATCGATAATCATAAATTTAGTTATATTTCCAATATACACAACCTAAAAAAAATCTAATCAACCACAGCGTAAAAACACTATCCACTATGATGTGCACTCAACACTGTAATAAACTTCGCAATAAAACCTAACTGTTAGCCGTTATGATTTAATTGTGTTTATGTGCGAACAAATATAACCGTTTGAAGATTAAGTTATTACATTCACAAAATCTTGCCGAAATCGAGTTTAATAAAAATATACAAACCATCTTCAAAGTGTTTATTCATAAAAATCGCTAAAATTATACAACCAACCGTACACATCGTTGGGTTGCCTATATATCGGGGAATTAAAATTGTCTGATGACTCGCCGATCTATTCCGTAAATAAATATTTATCTACTGGTTAAATATTAATTTTACGAGTTGTTTTTCAATCATCTCTACCATTAATAACGTCTGGTACCATTCGGACGGCGCCTGAACGACAATTATACAACCACATTTTAAATCGTATATCGCTAAAATAATTACAATAATTTAGTTTAACGACCACGTTATGACGTGAATTTACTAATCCAAAAATATGACTTTTTAATTCTTAGCTATAATGATATCATCAAATATTTGAATTATTTTGTATATATTTTTTTCTAGTCTTTTTTATCGACAATATTTGCGTTAGAGTAAATATGAATGAATATGTATTTGTGGTATTTTCTTTAACATATTTTTTACTTTATTGTATTTCCTATTTTTTAGTAATTCTATTTCGTTCGATTTTAATTAGAAGCGTATGAGGCGCTGATTTTGATATTTCCACACATAATCGTCAACTTTGAAGGATTCTTCTTATAGGAGACTTAGACCTATGCTAATTTTTCTAGCCCCCAATTATATAGGATTATACATGTATAGTATTTCGTCTCAAATCGCTGAGACGCTGGATTTGATATATCATTAAACTTTTTCCAAGAAAAAATGTTATTTACTAGTTATAATTGGTAACTCTAGTAATAAATAGTGGTAATATCTAGTTGTTTCAAAATGTATTATATGTAACTGTTTATTATTTATTTACCGGAGGATTACTGTAAATCAAACTCAAACAATTTACTCGTCATATAAATAAACAATCTGCCGGATTTTAATATTCTCCAGGTTTGTGTCCGGAATATTTTTGAACCCATTTCTCGGAATACATTCATTCGTATTTACATTTTGAAACGGCAGGTACGGCCTGCGCGCAATTTAAATCCAATAAATTCAAAGTTTGAAACGTCATGTCGATGTTGAGCCGTATTTACTGCTATGTTGTACGGTATAAACAGCGCGCACCTACGTTAACCGACCACATTTGCAAAACTACCTCATTGAAACTTACAAACGTCCAATCAAACCAGCTGTGCGCACACGTATTCATAAAGTAGTTAGTTGCTATCGGTATTGTACAATGCCCGCCGCAAGTTTTCGATCGTGTTAGTTTTTTTAAGTAACCGATACTCGTTGAAAGCAACGTTTTAATTGAACCTGCTTTAATGTGATAACTGTAAACGGGAGCTCGTTAGAAACCAACTTCAGAGTTGATCTTGCTACAAGAGTTGCAAGTGTTTCTGGAAACATACCGTTGGTTGGTTTATTTTAATAAGAAGCGGCCAGGTGCAAAACCTGGAGCAGATTTATAGTTTAGTTAGAATCGCCGGGTTTAATGACGTGTAACGTTGTGCGACCAATAAAAAGCTTTTCGTTCATCATCGGGGAATTTGCCACCGAGTTAAAAAAGTTGGTTAATTATAGTTTTGACTCGATGAGGAAGATGAGTTTCTTCGTTTCGGTGCACGGAGACGTTCTCGATTTGCACAGTGCGGTTTACATTCGTGGTTATTTTCAGTCCTAATATTTCTCGCTTTATGTAGCGTATTTAGAGGTTGGAATGCGGCTGTGTTAATTTAAGTCAGTCTACTGATGACTCAGTCCAATTATTACTTAGGAATTCTAAAGGAAAAAATTATAATTTTATTGCAAGATAAAATAATGTAGAAAAGGTTATGTAGCGAAATATATCCAGTTATATATTTGAGGCGCCTTTCATTCTGTTAAATATAAATATACACAAGTAAGATTCAGCAGTATTCAACTCCTATCAGTTGTTTGCCTTATCAGTATGTAGATAAAATTTCACCTATGCGTGCTCGACGAGACCTCTAATAACACTGATGCAGTCTCTGTGAGTCTGTGGTCCACGAACGGTCTCTGATTTTTCTAAAACAGGATGTAAATTATTTATTCAACATTCGCTATGCGACAGGTAAATTTAGTGCTTATATAAAATCCGTCCGGAGTAATAATATACTGTTGGACACTCGTCATAAATTATTTTTTGCATGACTTTCCTCCTCCCATGAGACCCATTGCGTTTCGCGTCAACTATAAAAAGAAATGTTTATTCGTTAAAGATTAGATTTTGTTTATGATTGAGCGCTGATGATGTCTTTTTCGTTCGCAGGCAAGACCCGGGATAGTCAGCATACCTCTTGGATGCAGAGGACCAAGAAGCCTTTATATTCAACGAAGGGATGACAGCTTTGGGTTCAAGCTGCGACACCTAATCGTTTATCCACCGTCTGTGAGTACAATACGTTTCCACAAGCTGATAAAACAATGTCTAACTCGAACCCGTTATCGCTATTACCAATAAAATCGATTAAAACATTCAAACAAATAAAACTAGGTTGACTTTACCTCACAGTCTTACGATAACGATACCAAAATAAATTATTATTTTAAAGAATATATTTAAGAAAAGAATAACTTAATCCGATATAAAACTGTTATCTTATTACAACACATCACGCCTATTTTTATAATTATTGAATGTAACTAAAATCCATTAAAAAACGCAGCCGTATCAACTCCAAAAAACTTTGTATAATCTCGCTACCGTTTAAGAAAATTAAACAATTCTTTTTTAAAAACACATCACTTTTCGCGTATTTGATTGAACCAAATTTATCATTAAAGGAGAACGGAGATCGACATGCCCGAAAAGGAGAGCACCTTCAGCATATGGAGACCATCTTCGTAAGAAACATCGTCGAAGGTGGTCCCGCAGAACAAGCAGGGTTAAGAGTCGGCGATTGTCTAGTAGCAGTGAACGGGATTCCAGTATGCGACAAGTCTTACTCAGAAGTGGTCAATTACATTCAACACAGCCCAGATTTCCTACATCTCCTTGTCATATCTAGAGAAGAAGACGTCATACAAACGGTGCAATGTATTCAAAATTTGTTAAATCCCATCTAAACCAATTCTCTTTTTTAGTATTACAAAGAATTTGCGTACAATCCAGCTTCAAATCAGCAACAAGAACCTTACAGAAAGCAATCACTTCATCCACAACACCCAGGATTTTATCACCAACCGTCCACGTTTCCTCGGAAAGGTTCTGAATATCACGCGGATTCAATATCTTGGAGATCGCTCCAAAATTCTAATTTAAACTCATTGGAGCAATCGAGATTAAATCCCCGGCAACAGCATCAACAAAGAAGTGCCGATAATATTTTAAATCCTTCCCCGAAACATTTCGTTCCAAGTAAGAGATCTTTGGAGGGTCATAAACAACACTCAACTCATGAAGTCCAACAAAGACCAAGGGCGCAACCCCAAGTGCCGCAAAGAAAGATGGGGCGAAGAGCTAGCGAAGGGAGTTCGTTTGCAGAGCGAGATATCTATCATCAAGTCGTGAACAATTCCGAAATGGTTGTCGGTGATAACGGTGCCAAAATGAAAACCGCCACGAAAGGCGGTTGTTATCCGGATCCATCTCATCATCCCTCGTTGGAAATGGCCGGATGTAGGCTCAGCCTAGATGCTGGCCGAAGAGATTCTTCCTCATCATTAACGTCTTCATTAGCTGACGGAAGCAAAGACAGTTTAAGTTCCTACGATTCATCATCGACCATAACCGGAGGATATGACCTGGATGAAACCATGATGACCAGGATACTCAAAAGTTTGAAGCAAAAAGAGAAGTTTCTTCAACCGAATCCACCAGGTCCTAAAGAGTTTTATGGAAGACCCCAAAAGTTGGACAAACCGGTTTGGCCACCTGAGGGACCAAGAAACGATTCGCCAAGCAGAACTGTGAAGCCTACTCATCAAAACTTCCAGAGAGTGAAAAACGACATTGATAGTGAAAGAGATTATGTGCAGTGTAAAGAAAATTATAAAATGCCTGAAGCTTCCATAGCACCATCAATGCCTATTGAAAATCATCAGCAAGTTAATGGTACTAGTATGGATAATGTAGAAGCTGATGATAAAAGGTGAGTAACACGAAAAAATTATTAAAAATACTTATAAATCATTTTTTTTTATTTTTCAGAAATTGTTCATCTAATTTACAAATTGTTCAAACAAGAGCAAAACAGTTTGAATCCGGTAGATCTTTACCAGAAGATGATCCTTTAAATGATCGTACTAGTTTCTATAAAAGTGAATTGGCAAGAGTGAGTGAAAAACGTGTGGTGCCGAGTGTTACGGTTAGAGCTAGAGAATACGAGACGAAGAGTGGTATTGAGCAGAGGAATAATAAGGAAAATTCAACGGCTATTTTAAGGAAAAGTCATCGCGATAGCAGATCTTTGGATAGTTCAGGTAATTACTATATAATCAAATTTTTCATATTGAAATGTTAATATAAATGTGATTTAAAGCAAATTTGATAGACTTTTAGAGATTATTTTTTACAAATGAGTTTTGGAGATTTCCTATATGTTTTTTAACCATATCACTACTGAAAAAAAAATCAATTTGAGTACTTACAAGGCTAGTACTTTTATCTGTGAGGGCATGACTGGCAAGTGACTGGTAAGTGATATTAACAACTCTTGGTATACATTGCGGAAGCATGTTTTGTCAATATATAGGTTGTTCAAAAAATGCTTCCAAATTTGGGTCAAGCTTAGTGTCATGACGTTCTGAAACTTTTTCTCAGAGATCTAACTTAAAATTCGGTTCTCAAAAAAGATTAAAAGGGATTGTGAATTTTTGGAAAATTCTCTTTAAAATTGTTATCTAAATGTAATTAATTGAATCACTTTAGAGAGTGAAACAGATGCATATAGGAAAACCTCAATTGTTTGCCATAAAGTGAGTAATCTCTAAAAATCTAATATACTTGTTCTGAACCACTTTATATAATATTTCCTAATTATTGTGTTAGGAAGCAACAGTAGTATCAACAGTATAACTGAAAATATATTCGGTAAATACTGCGGAAATATGACCGTTCCGATAGGAAGCAAATATATACACGTTCCTCCTCCGAAGGATTATCAAGAATCCGAAGGTTTGACTAAATTGGGTGTGAAATACGTAACTAACAATAAATTAAAAAATTCTTTTATTAAACATGAAATTTATTGCAACATTAACACATTTCCAATTTGAGCAAGAACTTACATGCTCTGATAAATCAGTGGGATTATTAATTTTGGAACACCTGCTTAATATGAAAACTGGTGCAATCGAATGTTATTAATTGTGCCTATATTTATTTATTTGAAATCGTACTTGATAACGAATCACGCCGATAACCCAAATTACACTTTCATGTTTTAACGTGAATTCATGTTCATTAGAGCAGATTTTGTTGCATAATATCTAACCAATCTCAATTTGTTACTCGTTCATCCGGAACCGCGGATAAATTGTTTCTCTAAATTGGGAGTTTTAAAACACCGATGACAAATTCCATTCGAATTGGTTTTGTTGTAATTATCTATTTAATTCCAATTAATCAATTTGTTTTGATGTTGTAACACTACACGTTTAATAATTCCGAAATCAAATTTTACAAATTACACCGATATTGAGAAACAATGCTTTGTTTATACCAAATCATGTTGACCAATTGTTAACAAGTATTAATTGATGTTTTGATTAAAATAATGCTTAAAAAATCATTAACAATACCTGCTGATATGAAAATTCAAGGCTAATAAGAGTAATATACTGTATAATTTGCATTCAGTTTTCGAGCTTTGCTTGTATTATAACTTTGTGCCTTTAACAAAACGATTTTTTTTGGATGATAGATGTTCGAAACTTGGATAACCAACCAAACAAATTGCGGCATCGTTCTAATTCGGCGGATTCGTGGGTTATGTCTCCATCGGAAGGGAGGAAAGAGGACAATGAGTCACTTGGCAATGATCTAGACGTTACTACCAAGAAAGGTAAATTAACTTAAAATCCACTTAAAAATCTTTGTTTTTAATTTTTTAGTTTAATTTTGTTTTGTTTATTTTTGTAAATTATCACAGACCGTACCTTGCAAGAAGCCATGGACATTTCTCTTCCCGTTACAATACGAAATTCTGGCCTCAGGCCAAATTCCGCCCCTTCCGATACATTAAGCGATCAAATCGTCCCACCCCAAACAACCCCAAAATTATCCGTTACTCCGCCTTCTGGCACTACCACGCAACAGGGTGGTAATAAAGTGCCAGTGCGACCAACGCAATTGGACCTTTCAAATGCCCCCAAGAGACCGAACAGACACCTGAGGCCATTGGATTCACTGCACTCGTCACCCTCACGACCTTTATCACCAGGTATTCTAACAGGTTGTCCTCAAATTTGGTTCGCTGGGGTCTTCTCTTTTTAATGCAATTAATGCCTGCACAAAATTATATCGATTTATTTTTTATATATCTCAAAGAAGAAGCAATTGAAAAACGTGTATTGTTTATAAATGTTAATTAAAATACTTCTTCTCTGAGTGGCATCTTTATTAACAACGTGTGTAAATAATATCTTTACAGCTACACTTACCAATTATTAAAAAAACCAATGCTTTTTTACTTAAACAATTTCTTTGTATTCATTATTATTATTAAAGAAAAATTAATGCTTTAATTAACCATAACCTATTCGTTTGCAGCGATGGAGAACAGACCGTTAGTGGTAAGAAGAACTAAAAATACTAACCTGGGTAAGTTGAATTTTAACTTCAACCGTCATCTTCAATTTTTTTTTAATAAAAAAAAAATAATTTGCTTATCAGTCAACGCCAATATTTAACCTCCATTAGTTTTTAATAACGGTCCCATTATCTTCTTTTAGCTGAAGAAGACCGAGCCATGCGCCGCGAGTCCTATCTCAAGGCTACAGAAGGTGGAAGGATGCCGTTTGATGTGGACTTTAACGTCGACTTCAACGACGGAGACGTTTCGCCGCAAGTCCTAAGAAGGTAAGTCGTTTCAATTTACATTTTAGAATCAAATTTCATTCGCCATTTAGATTAGCATATTTCTTCATTGGATCAAATCATTTTTATCCCGATCGAACGACGCAAAAACAAACATATAAGCTTGCAATTATTTCTTTTTTCTTTCATCTTCTTTCTTGCCGTTACGATATAAAAGGGTATCTTTGCTTATTCAGCGCTCATAGAAAGTGGAAGCCGCCGTTGTTTCCGGGTGATATTCAGCAACTTCGCAAGCTATTTGAAGATACTGTTGGGTGAGCCGGCTAAATTGCTTCAGAGAATTTTTTTTTAGATAACATTAACTAACATTGTTGTAGAATTGAATAATCTACAATTTTTTTTGATTTGAAGATGTTCAATAGTAGAAAAAGCAATTAACCAAAACATAAACTTCCATGTAATTGTTAAAATGGGCTTAAAAATTCTTTATTTATTCCTGCTTATTCTTAGTTTTACAGTTCATATTTTGAATAATTAACATAAATGTTGATTTCGCTTGCTTAATTTTCAATATGATTTATTCTTTTTGAATACAGATCTCTTTCTAAAAATGTAATGTTAGTTGCCTATATTCATATAAAAATTATTATAAATAAAAAATGATGGAGCACGGAGATGGATTGCACCTCCACTTTTTAACTTGGCTTTGGAGTACGTTATAAGAAAACTGCTAATTGATACTAAAGGGAGGCTAGTCTTTAAGTTATAAAGATATAAATATAATGGCGCCATCAAACCAGGCGAATAAAACATACTACTCGAAATCATCAAATGTCAGCCATGTGCAGCGAATGGATAAAGGGAGAATAGAGAATACCCAAACGTGCGCAAGCAGAAAGGAAACTAAGAAAACGCTGCGAGGGTTCAGTCGATGAGGATAGTAAGTTGACAGAACGTGGTCATTGGACCGGGAGGCTTGGAAGAAGTGCATAGGGACGTCAACGCCTAACTCAGGCTGTAGTGTAAAGATTTATTTTAGACAGAGAATTGAGCTTTAGCAAACAAGTTAGTTCTTTTTACCTTAAGTGTATTCTAAAATGCGTGTTACAACTACATTTATAATTTACGTAAAAAAAATCATTTGAATTCTTAATTTTCCTCCATTATCTAATAAAAAGAAGCGTTTCAGATGGTATTAAATTCATAACAGATGCAACGCGACAATTTCAAACGGTCTGGTGCACTACCCACATGCATATGGTTCCATTTACACCTGGCTCTAATAGAAAACCGTTGAAAAGGGGAGATTGTAAGCTGCCACAGACAGCTATAATACCTATACAGCACAAATCAAAAGGTTTCAAACAAACCGTTTATAATTATTATTATTTTAACGTGACACCAAAACCAGAAATAAAATGTCATCTTTCTCATTACATCATATTGTTACCACAAGAATCTCTTATGGTGCAGTAGATGAGAATATCGTACGGTTTCGTTTAATGTTTAAAAACTTTTTAATAGACGATGTATTCGATTAAGAAACGTGCAAGAAGCGTGCGAAGAATGCTACCGTCTGGCGTCATCAAAGACAATTGTTTGCAGAGCGTGAAGAAGACGTCTGATTATCATATTGTACGAGTAACATATGTCGTTTCAAAAAGTCGTTTATAATGTAAAAAGTTAGATTTTTCGTTCCAATGATGTCGTTAATAAATATCTTACTTTAATTGTGTCTTGTAGGAAACGTGAGCAACGCGCGTTAACGTTACCAAACAATACGTTGTTATTTACGCCTGGAGCGAGATCAGCTATCGAAAGTAATGTACTAAGGAATACAATTATAATTACGGCGGGGGCCTCATTGATTGTAACGGTATTCGACTTTTCACTTTCGCGGTTACACAAAACGACCGGTTCCTTCACTGATGCGAACCGCACGCAGCGGCGTTATTTTCAAGAACATCTCCCGTGTCCGAGATGTTTGCACACCTCGGCTTGGACTTTCTACTCTTGTTTTATAAATTCGATTGCAATGTACCCTTTTCCGAGGTGCAATTGTGCAACGTAATGCTCGGATGAGCTCCAGTGAAATCGAAAATCGGACTCTGCGTCCGAGAAAGCGCGTGATTTATCGTTCCCATCTTCCTCCTCTCTTTTTTCTTTACTTCTTTTTTTTTTTGAAATTGCTTCCTCTCTTTTGTGCTCGAGTTATTGATAGCCCCACGGTTAACCTTCTTTTTCCGCTTACTTTACCCTCGTTCAATTGTGTATTAAATGGCTAATCTACGTTAACGATCTATACTGTTTTCTCTTTTACCTTTTCATATTTTCTACCTATGATGATGATGTGATTATAACAAAATATTTAATCCAAATTTATTTTATAGTGGAAGCGTTAGTGGAGGAAGCAGCAATAGTAGCGTATCACTCGATCGGGAAAAGAGGCCTTCAAGTCCTGTTGAACGAGAAAAACAGAACGTTATTAGGGAAGGAAGTTTGCATTGTAAGATAACGGAGATAGATGGAAAGGTAAGTTTATGTGAAGGGTTCATTTATATTAACTTACGTAATTCTTAACCGGACAAGGTAATAACCTGATAAGAAATGAAACTTTGTTCTGAGTCAGTTAAAAAGGAAACCAATAAAGAAGGCAAAGCCCACGTATAAGTTAGTTATTATTATTATTTTGATCTCGCTTACGTGCGCACGTTTCGTAATAAAAAGATTCTTCGACGTTGAATAATTACTTGTTGTTCAATTTAGTTGTTTTCGTTGTGAAAGCTTTGATAATATACATAAAGGTAGATTAACGGATTCGTTAAATTAATGAATCGTTTAGAAACATTAATATTTATTTATATATTGTGTAAGTTAGCCAATTTCTTTTAGATGTATATTGTTAATGCAATATTATTATTGTATACGCCTGTATTTATTACAAGTGTGTACACATTCTCCTATACAATGGATCTCTGGCAATATTTGTACCTTTTGTATAAATAGATTCTTACTCAAAGAGATTTAGGGAGATTTAACTTATTCCTTGTGCATCTCTACGTTGTCTTAACAACAAGAACAAGTTATCGGTCCTCTTTGGGAATGTATCAGCGCCTGAGAGTTTGCGAAAATTGCTGGCTAATTCATTGATAAGTATCGAAAGCTGTACTTTGTGTTGGATTCTTCATTAAATATTTAGTTCCTAGAATTCAAGCTTTATCAGTTGAGGTTGTAGATCTTTTAATTAATTAAGCCGAAGTCACCGAGTACTTAATATACCCTAATTACTTAATATCAAATTTATTTAGGATTAATCATTTCTATTTTCACACAAGAAGGTAATATGAAAGCACTAAAACATTTCTAATTATGACATAATGCGTACTTAATATTCAAAGAAACCTTGAAAATTATTAGAAAATAATTAATAATTTCAAAATTTACTAGTTTTGTTTAATTTTTTTTTTTTAATTTAGGGGAAAAACTTTAGATATAAAAATAAATGTTATTCCCCATTTTTTAATCAACTTTCTAACAAATATAAGAACTTCCTTTTTAAAACTCATCCAAAAACCTTAACAGACCTTTGAACGTTTTTGCTTCATCAAATAATACCCAAGTTATCATTCAGTATTTATCGCCGATTTATTTACTTTGCTTGATTAGGAACATGTCAAAACTTTATATCCGTTTCTTAATGGCAGTACTTATGTAATGGTTTTCCTGGTAATGACTCGTTTACGACTACAAATAGAAATCGGGTTATATCAATGGATGAAATGTAGTAAACGTGCGAAATTACGCACATCGAGTATTCTTTCGATATTGTTATCAGTGTTAGATATCCGCCTCTGTAAAAGAGTCGCGTCTTTTACAGAGGCCTACGTGAGATTTTGCATGTTGATAAAACTGTTAACTCTTTGCTTTTTGCCAAAAACTAATTAAAAGATAATTATTTTAAAAACATCGGTTAATAAATGTTAATAATTGTGGATGTAGATGACGCAAGTTAAAGCAAATTTATGACAAATTTGCTAACAAGGTCGTAACCTGTGATAAGATTCAAAATTCATTCAGAAATAATTTAATAATTTGATTTTGCAACGATTTTATCAAAACATATTTTGATGTCTTTTTATTATTTGTTTTATAGCGTTCGGGTGATAGATCGTGGAAACAAGTATGGGTTGTTCTTCGAGGTCCCAAATTGTACCTGTATAAAGACAAACATCATCAGGTAAGTACGCCTCAATTCTTTATTTTCTTTGTAATGAATCATTACGTCACGTAAAAAACCGTTAAAAAAAAAGTAAAATTGCTTTACATAATTAGAGATAAATTGAAAATACGACGAATAGCTCACGCACGCACTCAACAACCAAACTATACACCAACCATAACGAGAATTCATTATCAGTTTTTATCCCTTGGGCATTTAGTTGTCCACTTTCAATCAGTCAATAACAAACGGTCAAACTAGTTGTAACGTAAAAGCAAACTTCATTGTGTGTAGATGCCTTTGCGCGTGATTAAACCCAAGTCGTAGAGAGTAAAGAATGAAAGTGATCATTGTAATTTGCGAATTTACCAAATCGGTTGCAAGGAATTTTAATTAATTTAATTAAACGTTAAGTGATCAAAGTTATTTTTGTTGTTTGTGTTGTCGGTGCAATATGGGAATAGCTACTACCTTGGCAAGAATCGAACATAAATTTTTAAAAGGAGTTGGTTCTATCCTTACAAATTGCACGGTAATAAAAAAAAATAATAACTAACATATAAAAATGAAATTAATACTTTCTACAATTTTATGAACAATTAATCTAAATCTTTATATCTTTTACTTATTTATTTTTGTTTAATAAAACTGACCTAATAATAAATAATGGATTTTGTGATATACGTAAATCGAGGTTCCACAATATAAGAAGCCAAGGTTCCCAACCTGTCACCTTGCAATAAAGTGGCATTTAGTGAGATTTATTCACAACTTCTTGTAGGTAAACGCATTATGAATCTGACTCTCTCAGTTTCGTTCTTATTTTGGAACTTACTCCTTCCAGCGACCATACATGGCATTGTTGCCCATTTATTGCTTATTGTTGCATTCCGATATTTTTAAATCTGAATTTAATACATTTTATTTAATAGGGTTTAATTATCAATGCGGCATAAAATTTATCGACGAATAAGGTGTTTATCTGTCTCGTCGTTCAAGGTCGTCGAAAACGTTTCGACTTTATAACATAAAAAGATTATTTAATTATTTACAAGTATATTTAAGAAAATAAGCATCTTGATAATAAAGAATTTAGTTTCTCTAAATTGTGACACAAATTTTGAGAAATCGAGATAAAATGAAATCGTTTCTAGCTGGCGAGAAGTTACCCAATTTCCTGATGTTCATACATTAATTACTACATTTTTTTTAAATCTGTTTTCATAATTTATCCCTCTAGTTGCTTACAACGTCCGGCGATTGGCCTCGTTACGTGTCGCAAAAGAGAAACGAACATTGACGTACTGTTGCACTAAATACCATTTCTTTCGATGCTTACGCATGACAAACTTACCGTGCATGTTTGGAACAATTGAACTTTGGCCGGATATTAAAAGAGCCGGGCGAAAGGTGTAAAGTATTTTGCCTGTCGTGGTAAACAATTTTGTGTAATGACGCATAAATATTAAAGCTGTAGAGTACCGACACCAATCCTTTTATAGAAACGAATAGTTAAGTCTTGAGACGTAATATCACCTGCTAAGTGTTTGAATGAGTTATGTATTGTTTTTTTAATTGCAAAAAGCGCTGACGTAAGAAGGTGTCCCAAATAAATCTTTATTCTACAATAAGCATAACATATATATTTAAAAAAGATAGTAATTTGTAAATTAACTTAATGTGCTGCGTAATTCTCGGGTCATACATTAAAAAATATATGACTCAAAAAGTTGCTTAATAAATGATTAAATTTTTCTATTAAAATAATATTGATTTTTTTAATTTTTAGGAGTTGCTTAATTTAGTAAAACTTTGTAATCACATTAAATCATTTCAAAAATATTTAAGCGGAGAAATAGATGAGAAATAAACTATAATGTCGTTACAACTACTGTTGAGGCGAAGTTGCTCGCGACAAATATATCTTTATAACGCTACATATTATTCAGCTTTATCCTAAATTGTATTGATGTGATGTCAATAAATTGTAGCGCCTCGGCTTAATTAAATAAAATTAATATTTCCTGGGCTTAGATTAGCCGAGATCAATTCCTCCTGGGACAATACAAAGTACTAGATAGCTATATAAATATGATATTTTTTATTTGCTCCCTGGAATAAATTTAAATAGATAAAGGAAATGATCTATACCGGAAATTTTATATAACTAGCAATAGACGAATGTAGTAACCATAGTTACGAAACTACTATGCATTTGAACTGTCCTACATAAAATGCAACATAGCTTAGGTTCATTACTACCATCTTTTAGGGCCGGTTGTACAATATAGCGATAAACTTCCCGACAGCGTTATCTGGCAGATAAGTTAGTTTGTACTGTATTACAATGTACGGATATTTTTGTCGGTGAGATTATCGGCAGGATAACTTATCGGGTACTCAGCGGTGCCGATAAGACACTTATCCGGCAGATATTTATGGTTACCCAGGTTTTTATATAAAAACTTTGTATGATTACTGCATAGGTTAACCTCTAACATTAAACGTTAACCTTATATGTACGATGTGTCAGTGAAAATTTTTTTAAACAATTCATATTGTCAAAATCATAATTCAAACTTCAAAGAAAGACGTTGACGTTACCATTCTACGGCATAAATCACTAGATATGGGGAAAAACTACTACCAACCGACTCTTGTTTCGCCGATAGCAATCCTACCGACAAAAACAATTTGTACAACAGCGAATATCTTTATCCTCCTGATAAGTTTATCGGGCGGATAGATATCAGGTAGATTTATCGGTATATTGTACAACCGGCCCTTAGTTAAATTTATCTTATAGATAAACCGATCTACTAGCCAATCAGAGGGCGTAAAATAGCCGTAACCCTGGTAATAATCCCTTAGATAGCTTAACCAGAAGATCGTAGTAACGAACCTTAATAGTACAGGCATTGGGTAGTTTTGTAAAGGAAAAGTTTTGCTCGGAAAAAGGTAACGGGATGTTTCTAGATCTAGGTCTAGTGTTAGTTCTAGTTTTAGTGCAATAAAAATATATAAAATAGTAATATCGATATAAATATAAACTATCTAGAGGATAGTTGCCATGGTTACGGCGGTTTTAAGCGCTCTCATTGGCTAAGGCTCGTTACTACCATCTTCTGGCTAAGCTATCTAAGGGATTATTACTACGGTTACGGCTATTTTACGCGCTCTGATTGGCTAGTAGATGGGTTTATCTATAAGATAAATTTAACTAAAAGATGGTAGTAATGGACCTAAGAGCTGGATTTATCTATCGGATAAATTTATCAAGAGGTAGTAAAAAGGGGCCTTAGAAGTAGAAACATTCAGGTTTAGCTAAATGGAATGTTTCTAGTTCTAAGTCTAGTGTTAGTTCTAGTCCTAGTGTTGGTCTAATTTTATTGATTGTTGTATTGATCCGTTATATCGAGGTTTTACTGTAATATCAAATAATGCATCTTAAGTAAAATTCACTTTATGGTTTATTTGAGATCACTTTCTTCGTGATTATTATTATTTTTCTTTAAATTAAGTTATTGACACTGGAAATAATCGATTATTCCGTGATTCTCAATTAATTCCGAACGTGCAAAAAAAATTTCTATTCTGACCTAATAATTATCGTTTGAAACGCGTTCAATTACTTTTAATTATTTCGGAGTTTGAATAAGGGGAAAGTTTCATTTTGTACAGTGTGCCACTTTCGGTTTCGCGAACGCGGAAAAAAGCGAGCGTTACTCAAAACTATAATCAAAGTTCATCCGGTGACTAATTTTAAACTTACTTTACAGCAAACTTAATCGAATTTACATATAACAATGATTTGTATTTATCGAAGCGAAACGAATAAAATTCGGATCCTACATTATCAACACCTGAAAGGTAGTTCTTAAAGGTGATTTTTAAAGGTGGTTCTTCGGCGGGCGTGGTTCATCTCATATCGTTACGAAACTGTTCTCGCGCTGCATTGATTGATATCTGATAATTTCGACAGAATATACACTTACTTTATTGCGCAATCCGTTCTGATTTTGGTCCGATATGTTGAGAAAGTGCTAGTTGTGCGGAAAACAAAACCGAATCTCTATAATTTTCGTTGTACGCCTTGTTTTCCCAATACTACCAATTTAATACATTTTTTTGACGTTCTCTTAAATGGATATTGCGGAAAAATCGTCTCGGTTGCGTTAACAACACACATGTTCCAGTGCTCGCTGATGCGCTCCGTATTGTTACGTTGCACACAAGCCGTGAAGTTTCTTGTGTCCGACGAATTTGTTACGCAACTTTAAGCAAATTCCTAACGCCAGGTGTTTTCTAAAAAAATTACAAAAAGATAACCCAACATAAAGAATTCTGATTAAATGTGAATTCTTTTCAATAAAAATATGTAATCGATGAATCGTAACTAAATCATTTATAAATTTGTTGAATTTAGCTTGATAGAATCATATTTCGTGTAAAAAATGAAATGTTTAAAATTTTTTATGAATTGCGTTTCAAATTTAGTACCACTGCTTTATGTTTATCTATTGGTGTATTTACGACACGCAGTCAAAGTAATGACATCAACAGATAGAACTGTGGGCCTTCTTTTAATTGAGGCGACACTTCTAGAATTTAAAAGCGTGTTCCATTCGTATGGGTATGGCACGCGAATGACTCATTATCTTGGACGTACAAATGCAGAATTCGTGCGTTAACAGATTAACAAGGTTGCTGTCAATTTCAATTGCCTTTGTTTGTCGTTGTTGATCACATTCAAGTGAAATTCCAAATCAACCAAACTACAATAAATTACGTAATCTATAAATAATAAAGTTATAACGTTACAGAGCCGGAAATTGTTACAAGAAACTTGATTTTGCTTGTACATCAATTATTAAGGTATGCGATAAACTGTTGACTACATTGATAATAAAAAATACCAGGAAGGATATTTTTTTAGGTATTCGAAAACTTGGAAGTTGATTTATAAAAAGAACTTTATGTCGCGATAAGCGTTTCGTATCGTTATAATTACATACGAG